TTCCCCTTCCATTCTGCTTTTTTCACATTTTTCTACTATGTGCTTCCAATTTTCTTCCTCTTTCATACACATTCTGCATCTCTTATTTTCTTCTTTTTCCCAATACTTGCTTCCTCTCGTTTCATTACCTAGCCTAAACCTTTCCCTTATTTGCAGGCCTTTTATTCTTCCCTCTCTTTGAATTTCCTTTAACCTATACCTTTTCATTTCTTCTTTCAGCTCTTTCCACTCGTTTATGTATCTTGATTTTTCTAGCTTTTCTTCTAGTTCTTTTTCATCTTTTTTCTTCAGCTCATCTCTTATTTCTTCCCAAAACTCTTCCCTCATTTCATCTCCCTCTTCTCTCTCTCTGTAAATTTTACTTTTTTCCAGCCTTTCCTCTCTCTCCTCCTTCTTACCCTTTTTATCTTTTTCATTTCTTTCCCTTTTCTTTAGTTCTCTCCATGCCTCTTTTCTTATTGAGCCATCTATTTCTTCTCTTATTTTGTTTTTATACTTCATTGCTCTTTCTAATGCTGTTTCTTTCATTTCTTGTCTTCCTGTTTCCCATCGTATTAGGTAACTTGGCGTGTTTCTATCTAATCCTAAAACCCACTTTATGTATTTTAGGTGTAGTCTTTCTATTCCATCATATCTCTTCCATCCCCAGATTTCTGCTCCATACATAATCACGCTTTTCGCCAGAGCATCGAACAGGTTCATCCTTAACTCCCAGTTTTCTCTAAATAGCTTTTCTACTAGCCCCCATAACTTTCCAAGTCCCATATTTATTTTCCCTTCTACCTTCTTTATCTGCTTTTTGTTTCCGTTATTTCTGCTTATCACATATCCTAAGTAGTTGTACTCTTTCACCATCTCTATCTTCTCATCTTCCCATTCGAATTCTTCTTCCTTCCCCCTTCCTCCTCCTCTCCTGCATTTCATCATCTTTGATGTTCCTACATTTAACTCTAATCCCCTTTCTTCCAGGTATCTTTTTAATTTTTTCAGCCTTACTTTCATTCCACTTTCACTCTTTGCCATCATCACTATATCATCTGCGTATCCTAATGTCCATATTTTCTTCCTTCCTATCACTACCCCTCCTTCCTGCACCTGCTTGATCTTCCCTTCCAGGTCGGCGAAGGCAAGATTAAATAGCGTGGTGCTCAAAGGGCACCCTTGCCTTACGCCTTTGAAAGTCTCAAACTCCCCAATTATTTCTCCTCCAACTTTTACTTTACTCCCTGTTTTCTTGTATATTTCTTCTATTCTTTTCCTAATTTTTATATTTATCCCTTTCTCTTTCATTGTTTCCCATATTTTCTTCCTCTTTATTTTATCAAAAGCGGCCTTCATGTCTGCAAAGAATACGAACAGTTTTCCTCCTTTTTCCCTTATTTCCTTCCCTATTATTGTTTTTAATATAAATATCGCGCCCATTGTTCCTCTTTTCTTCCTAAATCCCATCTGCGTATCACTTAGCGTTTCTTTAGCTTCTAGTTCTCTTTCCAGCTTTTTTCTCAGTATTTCCGCATATATTTTATATCCCGTGTCCATCAGCATTATTCCTCTATAGTTTCCTACTTCTTCTTTCCTCCCTTTCTTATATATTGTTACTATTATTCCCTTTCTCCATTCTTCCGGATATCCTTCTCCGTTCCATATTTCATTTAAGCATTTTGTCATATCTTTTATCCAGCCTTCCGTGCCTTCCACCCAAGCTTCATTTGCTATACCATCTTCTCCTGTCGCCTTTTTCTTTTTCATTTTTCTTATTACCTCTTTTACTTCTCTTTCTTTGATTTCTGCACCTTCCTCTCCTTCGCTGTCTTCGGTTTCTTCCCCTTTACTTTCTTCCTGTTCTTTCTCTCCCAGTTGTTCCTTGAAGTGCTTTATCCATTCTTCTTTTCCTATGTTTTCATCTAATCCAATTCTTTTTTTCCTATTGCTATTCACTTTATCCCAGAATTTTCTTCTCGTCTTATCTGTTCTTATTTCTTCTGCCAATCTTTTCCCTTCCTCTTCTTTTGCTTTTCTTATTTCCTCTCTGTATTCTCTCTTTGCTTCTAAATATTTGCTTCTGTCTCCTTCCCCCTTTCTTACCTTATTTAACTCTGCCATCACCCTATCCCTTTTTGCCTTACATTCTTTTCTCCACCAGCTTTTCTTTGATCCTTTTTTTTTCCTTATCTTCTTTTTTACAACTGCGTTCTTCACTCTATTTTTTATATCTTTCCATTTATCTGTTCCCTCTATTGCATCTATCCATCTCTGATACTCCCTTATACCTTCTTCACTCCAGTCGTCTATCATTCTTTCTTCCTCTTCTTTTCTTTCTTCCGTTTTTGTCTCCCAATTCCACCTCTATTGGTAAGTGGTCCGACTTTACCCTCTTCTTTATTTGAACCTTTTTTATCGCCTCATCACCTTCCTCGTTACCTACTACATAGTCTATCGTTGACATTCCTCTCGCTCCTATATATGTTATTTCTCCTTCTTCATCTCCTTCTTTTCTCCCATTCGTTATCACTAAGCCCATTTCTCCTAGCCATTTTATCATTTCTTCTCCCGTTGCGTTTAACACTTTATCCTTGGCCTTAATTTCTTCTAGTTTGTCTTCTGTCTCCCATTCCCTTCCTTCGGTTCCTGTTCTTGCGTTGAAGTCTCCTCCTATTATTATTGTTTTTCCTCTGTTCTCTTCTATCTCTTCACTTAGGTATTCATAGTTTTCCTTCTTCTCATGTTGCATATACACCGATGCTATCATGTATTCCTTCCTTCCGATCTTTATTTCTCCTACTATTACCTCACTTGTCCTTTCTTTCTTCCATTCAACCTTATTCATCCCTTTCCTCTCTCTTACCGCCATTATTCCTCCCCCTATTTCTCTCCCTCTTCTTCTTTCTCTTCTTGAATCTCTCCACTCTATACTGTACCCTTTCAGTTGTTTCTCCACACCAGTTCTTGCCCCTTGCCTCTTCACCCAGGTTTCCGTTAGCCCTATTATGTCGAATTCCCTAACATATTCCCAGTCATCTTCCTCCATGCTCCTCACCCCCGCCACGTTCCAGAATAGTATTTTTACTGGCTTCCTCCCCCCTCTCTCCCTTCTCTTCTCTCTCTCTCCTTTATCCCTATTGCTTTCGAAACCCTTCCACCCCTTTTCCTACCATTTTTCCCTCTCTCTCGCTCCACCACCATTCTTCTTCCTCTGATTTCACCCCGTTATGCCACATCTTTACCTCTTTACCTTTACTTCTTATTTCTTTCGCTTTCCTTCTTACTTCCTCTCTTATCCTTCTCTGCTTCCACGTCCAGTCCTGATCTATGTATATCTTTTTCTGTGCCAAATTCTTTTTCTTCTTCATAATTCCTTCTTTTTGTTCCCATGACGCGCATCTAATTTGCCACATGTTTTTTCTTCTTTCTCTCCGCTCATCTCTCTCCGTTGTTCCTCCTATTCTTCTCAGATTCACTATCTCTCCTTTCATTTCTAGTACCTCCCTTAACCAGACCTCTGCCTCCCCTTTCTTTTCCCATTTTAACTCCCCCTCTAGGTCTATCACTATTATATTGTTTATCCTACTTTCTCTATCCATTTTTCTCTCATATGCTCTAATTCTTCCTTATTGCCTACTTCTGTACCTCTTTGCTTCTTGTTTCCTCCTTCTATGCTTTCTTTTAGTTTCACGCATTCCTCTTCCAACTGGTCCATCTTCTCTCCCCATTTTTCCTGCAGTTTCTTTTCTCTACGTTCTGCTTTTTCTCTTTCTTCTTTCATCTCTTTCTTTCTTTATTCTCTCTCTCTCTCTTGTTCTTTCCTAACTTTTCCTATTTCCTTCTCCCACCTTTCTTCTCTTCTTTTCCCCTCTGCCTCCATTCTTTCCATTTTTCCCATTATTTCTTTAAACATTTCTGTCCATTCTTTCCTTTCCTCCTCCCATACCTCTCTTAATTCCCTTATGTCTGTCCGTATCTTTTCCATTATTTCTTCTGCACCACTACTTTTTCTCCCTTCTCTTATCGTGTTGTCCAGTCCTTCTCCCCCCTCCCCGTCCATCTCGTTTCCCTCGCTCTCACTCTTGCATCTCTTTGCCTCCTTCATTTCTCCTCTAATATTCTCCCTCAGCCCCTCCCCGCTCTCTCTCCCCCTCGCCACCTTTACTCTCTTCTTCTTTTCCTCCTCTGGGCCTTTTTTATCCAATCTTCCACCTTTATCTCTTAATTTTTCTGTTGTCATAAATTTTTCCATCCTATCTCGTACGCCTTAATTCGATTCTCTATAACTACCCGTGATCCCACCTTTATTCCCTGTCTTACCTTTTCTGTCTCTGCCTTTATTTCTTACCGCCCCTCCTCTCTGCTTGTCTTTCCCGCTTTCTGGTTTTCTCTCTTAACCTCAACTTTATTTTTTTTCTTTATTCCTCTCTCTCTGCTTTTTCCTGGTCCTCTCCTGGCCTCTCTCTCTCCTCTCCACTTCTCCTCCACCTCCACGCTCTTTTCACCTCTATTTCTCTCCTCAAACACTTTTCCTCTTTGACATTCTTGCCAAAACTCGCGCTCACATCCAAGACACGTCCACACTTCCCTCAAGTGAAATCTAACCTAGATCCGACTATAAATATAAAATATAATTTGTGGAATAGCCGCACATGTATAAAAAATACCTTTATAATATTAACTGCATAATTAAATATAACTACAACCACATAGTAACTAGTTTGCTTAACAAATTATAATAGATATTCAATTTTGATCTTACTGATTTTCATTTTTCAACGTCCTTGAACCTATCAGGTAATTATATAATTGATTTTATAGAAATAAAAAGATAAAGTGATATATTTTTAATAAACAGGAAGATTTGATTTATATGATTATTTTTAGGAAGTTTTTCGTGTAAAAATTATAGTATTTTGAAACAAATAGTTGAAGCTAATGAAAAGCGTAATAGTAAAATATATTAAATAATACGATAAATGTGAGATATTATTTATATACCCTCTTTATTCACCTACCTGAATATTCTCAGCAAACTGTTTGCTAAAGGAATTCTATCGAGATGGCATACATCAGCGAGAGCTTTTACTACGTGTAATTCTGGATCTAGAAGTAATTGTTGTAGAGGGCTATACTCTTCAGGAGGCATGGCTAGGTCGTGACGATATCTATAAGAATATTATGACTTAATAAATATTAATCTTGAATAATCTAAATAAAAATTTTCAAATGTACTGTCCAATCCTCAAAAATATTAATATAATAACACTGAAAAATATGTACATTATTTCTGGTCAAATATCTCTGCTAGAAATTTGAATTTTTTACAAGTGAAGATATAATTTCAATTCATAAAAGATGATTCATTAGTGTTAAAAATGTACTAGATCATTAAAAATTGAAAACAATTACGAATTGTGTTTAAAATTTTATAGTTGTCAAAAGCTATAGAAATTGAGCAGCTGTCATGTGATATTTGCTGATTTTGTATTACTATTATATTGGTATTGTATTGCAAAAAATCAACGTTCTTACATTTCTTGATATTGATGTGATTCATCTCGTATATAATTTTTAATTTTCTCAAATAGGTGATAAATACCATTGCTAACTAATGTACGATTCATTAGCTGTGCAACTTTGCTATTAGAAGACGTTAGTAAAACGATACATATAGTAGTAGATCATCAGCTGAGCGTGAAATTACTGAGACCACTGGTTCCGACAGTGATGATAGAACTCTGCGATCTTAAAGACGTAATGGAGATAATGAACTTGGGTGGTATTTATGACAGCACCAACAGCCTTGGTACCTGAAAATGTATTGAAACCGAATAGTCACGATTGAATAAGTTAACATAGACGCTTGTCAAAAGAAAACGGTAATTTGCTGTTACCGGTTCATGGAATATGGGTAGATTGTCCCAAAGTATTCAAAGAGGAATATCCTTAAAAAGTTATTGTTATAAATGTAGTGATCCAGAACATCTAGTGGCTGGTTCCAAAAAGTCATATAAGCGTCTATCTTATGAAGAATCAAATAAATCGCATTGGTATAGAATAAAAAATGCGTATACTGTCATCGAGATGGCTAGAAAAAAACTCAACCATAAAAACAAAAATAATTAACCTCTTCAGTATCGATATAATGCAGATTTATACTGCTACCACCAGATTAAAGTAGTAGAAGATTTTGCATTCCAAACAGTAAGGGATAGAGAAGGAGGCATAATTATAAACTCGGAAGAGAGTAAATATATGAAAGCAGCGCTCTTGGCGGAATGCTGAAGTATTATGCAAATTACCATGGTGACAGTCATTTTGCATTTGTTGTACGACCTCATAATACAAACATAATAACGGCCAAAATAATCGTTTAGATGAGAGACTTTTTATTTAATTCTTCGCATAATAACACTGAAAAGTGGAAACTAATTAGCGCTAAAAGACAGCGAACAAGTCTTGAAAACCAAACTAAAGACAAAACGAAAAAAGACAAGATCAATTTATAAAATACGTAAAGGCTAAATATCCAGCTGATCAATAACTAAGTTTATTGTTCATAATGTAGAAAACATTCGTTTATTAAAAAACTTGCTAAATACAACAGTCAAAGAAAATTTTACATTTTGCACGACACCAAGTCCGAAATCGGCAGCCACTCTATAAGACTACTTGCTAAATAATACAAAAACGTGCTGCTGAATGAGGCGGTTTTAATAGTGATAATTTGACGGCAGAGTTAGCAGTCTCTCCATTATTGCCATTTGCCAAAGCAAATCTCTGGAACGATCTCACTGACTGCTTCGTGTTTGACGTTGGATGTCACAGTACCTATTTGTGCCATCAGAGATACAATTTCCACTCTGCTGATGACTTGCGTTTTGTTAGCAGCGGCTACCGTAGCTGGTCCAGAAAGCTATATCTCTTGAAAAATCTTTAGCTTACCCATATCCGACACTCATATCACATAACATTTTACAATTATTATTACGTGACTAACAGGTTGTCGATGTTTTAATTTTGATTAATGAATATTTCATTTTATTGATATGTATAGGATTAACATGTTTAGTCCTGAAAAACTCAGATAAGTGACTAATTGAGATTGGTTGCCCAAGAGCTTTGTTGTAATTCGAAAGCAAGTTACTCTTGAGGAGGCCATCGACGCCATAGAATCACTAGTGACAATGAAAACCTCCAACCAGATTTCACCGATTTTAATATTCTTTTAATATGTTGAAGATTATAGCAAAACTAGTAATATAAGTTCATTTTATCGACGAAACACACTTTGAAGGGATGAAGTCCACCCTAAAAGTTCATTCTAAAATAAATGTTGCAATTTAATCAATTAATTGCAGATCTAATTAATATTTATCAATGAAATAAATTTTATTTCACTTCTCATTTGACTGCAGAGCTAGTGCATGTAGTTCCGATCTATTTTTGTGCCTATTTTTATGGAAACAAATTTTAAATAATCGAAAACAAACTGGAAAAATATTATTAAGAATTGATTACAATAATAAGGTTGATCCGTTCGAGATTATTTTTTGAAACACTCTGAAAATGAAAAATACCATCTTCAAAAAAAGTTTTGTAATGTTCTGCAGGCTATAAATGATAATTTATTATGATATACATTGCGTATTACTTCTAATGTATAAGTAAAACTAACATATATTGTACTAATAATTAAATTTCGATAGGAAAAGTCAGTCCTCGGAAATAATTAAATACTCATCCATTTTTTGTTCAATGCTTATTATTTTTATCATTATTACGCCGACTTCACCTCAAATCATGCAAGGCACCGGGTAAGCGGTAACCAAACAATATCAAAACACTTGGATATTGTTCTAGGCTCAAAATAAGAAGATCCGTATTTTTTTTCACCTAAGATTTATAGTTGCACAAATAATGCACTTGAAAAATGCACTTTCACAGAAAATGAACTAACAAAAATAATATCGTATACAATTTCAATCGGTTTGATCACAGTATTGACTTGTTATGAAGTCAGTTGTCATAGACCTTTACATTTGTAGTCAACTGTGCTTATGTATACAAATTCCACCATACTTATAAATAGTATTCTCTTTTATTCAGTCAGTAGCGACAATGCATGTCTGAATTTCTGCCTGGTAATATGTCAGCTATGTTAACATACTCTATACAAAGATTAAAATGCCTGAATTTTTTCACAGTACATGCTAAAGTCGTGTATGATTTTAATAAAGTAAATTTTTAAAAAATTGGCGAATATACTGAATTTTTACAAAGGAAATTTTTAAATCTAAACATAAAAGCTAGTAACAGTGTGTGTAGTAACAACTATACGCGTATCGTTAATGCTTATGGTGCAATGCACGTAGAAATAGAAGAAGAAACAACGACAGATGAAAATATTTTAATGGAAGTAAATTATGAAAAAGATGATTTTCGACCAGAATCTGCACTTTTCATAGATGAATTTAATAATAAAATAATCGCTAATTTAGAAAATCCAGTATCTTTTTTGCGTAAGAAAGAAAACATAAAAAATACAAGTGTTAAAAATTATGTAGTGAAAAAACAGAGAGAGCTTGTAACATCATTCTATGAAACTGAAACATGCAAATTACGAAAAATTTATGTTGTACCTACAGAGGAGCCTGTAGAAGAGTTAGAAAATTATTCCCTTCAAGAATTAAGAGAAGATTTCTCTAAAGCTCTCCGTAATTGCTCGTGTATTTCATAAATGATCAAACTCTTAACGCCGTTGTTATCAAAGTTTCAAATTTTGACGCTATTCCCTCAAATCACTAATTACATGATTGATAAGGGGAGAAAACTTTTCTCAAATGAAGATAAAATAAAAAAATTTTTGTTATGTAATCACAATTAATGTACAATTTTGTGTGTGTGTGTGTTAATTTTATAACTATTATTATATTATATTCAATTGCAGGTATTTACGAGGTGTGTTAAAAAAATAACGAGAATTTTCGTTTTATGAAAAAAATATTTATTTATTCATCTACATTAATGTTGTCGCCTTCAAAGTAGTCTCCTTCGGATACAATACACTTATGCCAACGCTTTTTCCAATCCTCGAAACACTTTTGAAACTCGATCTTTGTAATAGCTTTTAGCTCTTTCAGCGATTCGCTTTTAATGTCATCTATGCTTGTAAAACGACGGCCTTTTAATGTTCTCTTTATTTTTGGAAATAGAAAAAAGTCACATGGAGCCATATCTGGCGAATATGGAGGCTGAGGCATCGTTACAGTTTCGTTTTTGGCCAAAAATTCACGAACAAGCAATGAAGTGTGAGCAGGCGCATTATCGTGGTGCAAAAGCCATGAATTGTTTTGCCACAAATCCGGGCGTTTTTTTCGGATTGCTTCACGCAAACGACGTTGAACTTGTAGGTAGTACTGCTTATTGATTGTTTGACCTTGTGGCAAGAATTCATAATGCACTATGCCATTAAAATCGAAGAACACTCACTGTATGCTCACTGCATAACCTTCACATTCGACCGCACTTGTCGAGCCTTTTTCGGTCTTGGCGATCCAGAATGCCTCCACTGGGACGATTGAGCCTTAGTTTCGACATCATATCTGTAAACCCATGTTTCGTCACCTGTTATAACACGTTTTAGTAGTTCTGCATCGTTATTGACTTCATTTAGCGACTCCTGAGCAACTTCCATTCGCCGCTGTTTTTGTTCGAAATTCAACAATTTTGGAACGAATTTTGCTGCCACACGTTTCATACCCAAAACATTCGAAAAAATTTGATGGCATGAGCCAACTGATATGCCAACATCATCAGCGACTTCTCTGATTGTGATTCGGCGATCGTTCATAACCATTTCTTTCACTTTTTTCACGTTTTCATCGGTTGTTGATGTGCTTGGGCGTCCGGGTCGTTCGTCATCTTCAACGTTTTCGTGGCCATCTTGGAAACGCTTATACCACTCATAAATCCTTGCTTTACTCATAGTAGACTCACTATATGCCTTTGTTAACATTTGACAAACTTTACTACACTTTACTTCATTTTTTACGCAAAATTTAATACAAATTCTTTGATCCATTTTTTTTCACAAACGAAAATCGCCGAGCTCGAAAAACACGTCTAACGTTAGCGGCTGCCACTTAAAAAGTAAGCAATGAAT